CAGTCTATACTGTATTAACTTAATGTAGAATTGTAGCTTTCATAATAATCTTGTACTCCATGATATTTAACAGTATTACTAATTCATATATGAACATATTACCATACCAATATTTTTATCCAATTGCTGTATTAGAATTTATAACAATTATAGTATGTATTACCATTTTGTACAATGTGAAAGAGCTACACATGTACTAATATACACAGATTATAATATCAAATAGAAATTACCATAGAATAAAAAAAAAAAAAAAAAATACCTTGATGATGATGAGTGATAAAAACATGCAAATAGTGTTGTATCAAGTGTGTATGTTACAGAAGGACGTGAACAAACCTTAGTGACCAACACAAATGTATGTTATATGTGATGGACAAGTGATGCTTACCACTAATTGTATAAAAAAATCTGTTATTACTGAATACAGCCAGGTGTTAGAGAGAACTAAAACTACTTTTTACTTCCCGCCTTGTTGGAAAAAACATCACATTTATTAAGGTGTGTTGATGAATCAACATCCTTTATCACAATGCATGACCTTTGACCCAATCATTATTTACACATGTCATGTGATCAATTTGAATTTGTCTACACCCACACCACTTTACACAAGTCTCAGAAAAGGTGGGTAATACTTAGTACCAGGTATTCTTAAAAACTTGAAGGAAAAACCCAAACTAACAATTCATTGAGGGATAATATGGTTACTTTTAATAGTGTCATTGTATGACTATATTTGGTCATCACTACAGAATCAATCTAGCGACATTACCACAGGAAATATCACTTCATACTGGTTTATAATTGGAACACTTCCTCACGGGATAAGGTCATCATGGAAATTGATAAAAATATGAAATCCCATGTTAATATCATGGAGCTCCGACAGAATAATAAATAGGTATAATTACCAGTTTGTACTTATCTTACCAAATATAAGGTTTTTAAACTGTTACTAATAATATAGACAGTTGTATATAATTCACCTGGTGCTGAATTTTCAATTGAGACCAAAAATGATTATTTTGTGGGAATAAAGTACACCAAACTTGCACCACAGTCTGTTAATACAGTTGTATTCTAATGGCTTTTATGTTAGAGCAGTCACTTTTGTATGGAATGTTTGACGAGACATCTTAATATGTACTGGTACCAATAAAGAAATGCCCTAAAAATAGTTCTACTTTGTATTTTTAGTCAAATTCGCCAAATTTAACTATATATATATGAGAATGTCATGATAGTACAGTTGGATTATTCAAAAATGAAAATAAAGCCAGGTCAGTCCAGAGGATACATTATTTGCTCAGTTAATAACAATAATATCTTTATTGCATTTATTTATTTTTTGATCAATTTCTATTAATAGTATCTAAATAAAGAGAAAAGTTTAAAAAAAAAACTCAATTTTACATATCAAGAAATGTCTATGGTGATTTTTGTCATAACTTTTCGATAGAAACTGAAAATAAAGACAAGTAAGAACAAGTAATAATTTATTGATTTACTAAAAATAGAACTGTAGTAACGATTAAACAACTTCTTATAATTTGTGAAACAAACAAATCGGCAATGCCCAATGCACTTCTTTCAAACTCTTAGATTATATAGATATCTTCCATACTCTTCCATATACTGTTACTGTAAAATACTTTATTTTAGCCAGAATTAATTTTCGCTGAAAAAAATTTGTGGGTGTTTTGTATGGAATTTATTTTCACAGATTTTCAAAAAGTTGAATGTAAAATATATGGGGAAAAAAGGTATATTCGCTGAATTTTATTTTCACTCAATCATCCCTTCTAAATTAATTCTAAACGAAAAGTATTTTACAGTATACACATGTTATCTATAGAGCTTGCTTCGTGAGCGGTCTTTTAGGATTTTCTGGCATTTGTAAAGACAACATTTTGTAAAATTTACGGGAAAAAAGTGCTGTAGGAAATGTTCACGGCTAAAAACTTTGTCTTTGGTAAAATTGTACAGAAATGTTTACTACTACAAAATGTTGCTATTTCCAATGACTCATGAAATTCACAAACAGTAAAATATTTGGTCAATGATTAAGAAATCTACTGATCTACTGTATATCTGATCTATTATTTTTTCATAAGTTGCATATTCAATATTTTTTGATGAGAAAACCCATATTCATAACTAATGGAGAGCAAAATAAAATTTCAACTAGCAGACTAGTTTCTATAAACTATTGTTTAAAATGGCTGTCCTGATGTATGAACTAAAAAGACAGACTGGTTTAAATCGAGTTAATGAGCCAATCTGATGATTCCTTGCCAAATCCATGATTCATGGTTGTCCATTTTTTGTAGCACAATAAATGACCTCATGTGAACAGATGTGAATGCATAAAGCTGGGGTAAGAGGCTTAAAAAAACAACAGATTTAAACCAATTTTGAGGGAATATGATTGCTGTTATAACAATTATATTATCATTAACACAATATGAGGCCATACACCATACTTCTAGACAAGACAAGACAGTTTAGAATGAATCATCAAACATGGATTGATATAAAGACGTTTATGAAGTGTGTGTTAAATTTCAAACCAAACTTGGAGTCTAAGAAAAATATGAAACAAATTTATTGAAACCAAAATATTGTTCTGGTTTTTGTATACAATGAAGAGTACATAATTAAGAAAGTTAATGACTCAAATATATGTTGTTGCTAATCACTATTGTTTCCTACTATTGTATACTTAAATACTGGATATTAAAATGATTTATTTTTACCATAACGGTAGATACACCTCTGCCATATATATAAGCACATGTGTTATCAATGGAGCAACAACTCACAATTTTTTTTCAAACATTTTTAGTTAGTTTGATAATTTCCCTAATTAGTGTGAACTTCAAGCAATAGCTTTGGATGTACATGTGCAGTTTGATGCAGACTATACCCCCAGTACTAAAATCACGCACAGAATGCATGTCAGCTAGGACCCTTGAGACGTAGACTGAGAGCTGACTGAATTGTCATGCAATGGACACTATACAAAAGAATACTCTATGTGAATACAAAGTTATATTATGAGGTTTTACAGATTGTTTTTTACAGTAATTGCTAAAATGATTGCATTTGCAGTATTTTGATCTAGGATCCATCCAGCAGGCAGGACAACATGCTTCAGTGTGATTCTCAAAGACAGTGCGACATCACAAACCCTCACTGATTTAATTCCCCCACGCTAACAAAAACAATCTCCTACTGACTTTCTATTCCCGGTAACCTGGGAATGCAAACCCATAACACCAAATCATAACTTGCAGCCAACCCTCCCAACTGACACCGGTGAGTATAAAGCTACTTTTAAATTTTAAAAGTGTCCATCATTTCATTAACAGTGCAGTGATAATGATTTGAATGTAAAAGCTACATTAAGGAATTAGTGAGACAATCAGAGTTGATAATCATTGTCATTGACAGCCATGATTGTGGGGTCAATGGAGGTATAAATACTATGAGAATCTTGTGGTTCCTAAATGTCTTGCATATACAATACTGGTACTGTTGAATACTTTATTTTAGCTGAATTAATTTTCGCTAAAAAGACTTTTTGGGTGTTTAGTTGCACTGATTTTGATGAGTTGAATGTAAAATATAGGAAAAAGGTATATTCGCTAGATTTTATTTCCACTGAATCATTCCTTCAGAAAAATTAGTGAAAATCAATTCTAAGCAAAAGTAAAATATTCTACAGTATCTATGGAATAGATGTTGAGGGCGTATTAACTACACAGAAACTTCTGTTATGCATTGTGACAATATTTTCAATGCATTACAAACAGGGCAATTACAGTATGGTGTCTAAGCAACAGTATAAATGTAATCCAAACTCTAAACTGTTTTCTGTCCATTTAAAGTTACCAGCTGTGCAAGCTCGTAACACGCTCAAATTCATGTTCATCTCGGCTTGATCACTGTAGAGTTCAGTCACCTTACGTACGATGTCTGATAATAAATGTATAACCTGTTAACTTCGGAAATGAAAAAAAAAGCAGGATTTTCAGTTGATTGAGTTTTGCTTCAAGGTTCTGATAATACAGACCTATGATTTATGGAGTCTAGGCAACCAATTCATCTATAACAGACTTATCCATGGGTGAAAAAGGTGGTGGTCACCGCTGGGATACAACAACTTTCAAAACAACACACTAATAAATTATACACCTTTTTAAATTGTGGTACTTCAAAGGTAGATACACAGAGTAATAATTCAGAACACACTAGTTATTAGTATTACACTGTAGTGGTGCAGAGCTATGTATTACTCTGTTCAAACTCAAAGGCAATAAAACAACAGTTAAAAGTAGTGCAAGACCATAGACACTACAGTATTATAATACCACTCATGTTTTCTCAGGACACAGATGGAAATGGAAGGACCACAACAACCGACATAACACAAAAGGTCTGCTCTTTTAAAGGGAGTGTTATTTTACACAGTGTAAAGAGTACTGAGGCTTGCTCACTGAAGCCATATTCATATGCAAATGACAAGGAGACTGCCTTTTGAAATCTACTCTGAATGGAATAAAGTTTGAACAAAAGTAAGACATCAAAGCCTGAAATAAAAAGTCCTTCAAATTGTACACCAAAGGAGAAATGAAAACGGAAAGTGCTGAAAAGCAAATCCTATTGAACTGAAAAAGCACAAGTTGTTTGTTTCAGTGGTTATATTCGTTGACTGACTAGGCCGTTATAAAGCATGCTACTTAGGTTGATATTCAAATCAGCCCTTGTTTTCTTATTACCAGGCATGCAACACCTCAACTTATCATGCCAAAGTTCAAGTGTTGCAACGGCTAACTCATTAAAAATCTCTACTTTAAACAAAACAAAAAGCAGATCTTACCTATCAATTTCTAAACATGCATGCAGCTGTTATGCACTATTCTACGTATAAGAGGTTACATAGTTCAATTTTGGAGAATATCTGCAGTAAATCAAGCACAACATGGCTACAGAGTAAGACCGTTGATACCAGGGTTGATACACAGTTGGCTGTAGTTGGGGTCACAAGGGCCAACACTGTTGAAAATTAAATCAATGAGACTGATTTACAATAGGAATATACCATTTGACTAAAGGGGTTAACATATTTCGGGGGAGGGGGGGGGCAATGTTTGAACAATACTAAAGCAAAACAATACTGAAAGGAACAATCAAACGAATAATAATATGTTAGAATCTGCCTTTCTAGTAGTGTGTATACAGTGTGTACAATCAATGTTTTTGGTCAGTGCATATCCAGAGTTCACCCATCACCACCTTCTTCCCAGTTTAAATCCAGAGTACAACCATTATCCATCCTACTTGCCAATGTAAATCCAGGGTGCACATATCACCCCCTTTTTCCCAGAATATATCCAGAGTGCACCCATCATCTTCTTGCCAGTGTATATCCAGGGTGCACCAATCATCCTCATGCCAGTGTATATGCAGGGTATACCCACTACCCTCATGCCAGTGTTTATGCAGGGTGCACCCACTACCTTCTTGCTAGTGTATATCCAGGGTGCACCCACTACCCTCTCGCCAGTGTATATCCAGGGTACATCTATCATCTACATGTCAGTGTATATCCAGGGTATACCCACTACCCTCATGCCAGTGTTTATCCAGGGTGCACCCACTACCTTCTTGCAAGTGTATATCCAGGGTGCACCCACTACCTTCTTGCCAGTGTATATCCAGGGTGCACCCACTACCTTCTTGCCAGTGTATATCCAGGGTACACCCACTACCTTCTTGCAAGTGTATATCCAGGGTGCACCCACTACCTTCTTGCCAGTGTATATCCAGGGTACACCCACTACCTTCTTGCAAGTGTATATCCAGGGTACACCCACTACCTTCTTGCAAGTGTATATCCAGGGTATACCCACTATCCTCATGCCAGTGTTTATCCAGGGTGCACCCACTACCCTCTTGCCAATGTATATCTAGGGTGCACCCACTACCTTCTTGCAAGTGTATATCCAGGGTGCACCCACTACCTTCTTGCAAGTGTATATCCAGGGTGCACCCACTACCTTCTTGCCAGTGTATATCTAGGGTGCACCCACTATCCTTTTGCCAGTGTATATCCAGGGTGCACCCACTACCTTCTTGCCAGTGTATATCCAGGGTACACCCATCATCTACATGCCAGTGTATATCCAGGGTATACCCACCACCCTCATGCCAGTGTTTATGCAGGGTGCACCCATCATCCTCATGCCAGTGTTTATGCAGGGTGCACCCACTACCTTCTTGCCAGTGTATATCCAGGGTGCACCCACTACCCTCTTGCCAGTGTATATCTAGGGTGCACCCACTACCCTTTCGCCAGTGTATATCCAGGATACACCCATCACCACCTTCATGGCAGTGCTGCTGCTCCAAGGTGCACCCATTATCCTCATGCCAGTGTATATCCAGGGTGTACCCACTACCTTCTTGCCAGTGTATATCCAGGGTGTACCCATCACCACCTTCATGCCAGTGTATATCCAGGGTACACCCACTACCCTCTCGCCAGTGTATATCCAAGGTACACCATCATCTTCATGCCAGTATATATCCAGGATGCACCCACTACCTTTTTGCCAGTTAGTGCTAAAATTGGGTGCTAAAATTGCACCTCAACCTCAACACATGCTGGTAGTAGTCCTTCAACCACACTCAGAAATACAAATTATTTACCCTTATGGAAATATATGTAAACATATATTGCATTTTTTGAATGTAGAATCATCAAAACAAGACTTATGTTAACCACAGACACACTGCAGTCATTGACACAAGTGATATCCACTAATTCTAGTACTGGACATGTGAATAACATTAATCAAGAAAGTTTGCAATGTGATACATGTCAATCTTCAACAATCTAATGGAACTCGTACCCAATGGAAGCAGCTTTCCAAACAATAAACTCCCATGGTGTCTGAGGGGGATTTTATAACAAAGCTCAGATTTCAAAAATTTTCAGTAGTATTAGTATGACTATAAAACACAGAAGTAAGCATGAACAGTTCTTATAATTTCACATTGCAATAATATTTTAACATGCAAACACTTTTGTAGATTAACCATCATCATACTCATCAATATGGATGCCAGGAGAGACAAAACAAAAGAAAACAATTGTGAAGCCCTATCAGTTGAGGGCATAGTACACTGCAAAGCTGGAGACAACACGAGTGATATGCTATCATATGCTTTATTTGTAGTGATAATTATTCATTAATTCAGAGAAATATTACAACTTTTCCCAATGACCATTTCATTTTGGATATTGAATAACGATGACTTTTATCCTCCTCACTGATGCTCTCAAATTATTAAATGACAAATTGAGAACAGTGAAAAAAATGGTTAACAATACATCCTGGTCTCTGTCTTATTCGCCAGGTTTTAGTTTTGACTCCACAATATACCTACCTGGTAGGTGAGTTCTGTGCTTTATGTCAGTGGAACTGATGATTGCAATTATAAAGACAGTGTTTTGGCAACAACCAAACTATGTCACATGTACACAGAGAGGTATTTACCCCCATTTAACACTCAGATTGTAAATGTACCCCTCACTGCCTAACCACTATCATAACCAAACACAAACTGACCCTTTTCTTGCTAATACCATTATGGTGTTTTATGAGTAAATGAATTCTTTCACATCATCCGATATTTCAGTGTAGTATAAACTTTTTCAATTTTATTAAAAACTAATTTCGCAGCAGTGAACATTTCTCTGCAGTTCTACGAAATGAAGTTTCATTAACTTTTGCAAAATTTCGTCTTTGTCATCAAAATCATCAAATAGTGAAAAGATTTACAGTGTTTTCTGAAAATAAGTTTTTAGGAAAATTAGAGTAAGGGGCTTCCCTCTGAACGTAAAGTAGCCATATCTACATGCCCATCAATATAACAAGTATCACAGGATACTATCATAAACATGGTTAATATTTCACTGACATACCTTATTGATTTGAACAAATTTAAGTCAGTGCTATACATGTGATGTGGCAGTGGTGTAATCATCTATCATTTTGCTATCTAAACTTCCAGTATAAAGAGACTGGCTCCGCCCCATGACAATATACTAAATTTCTAATTCTAATTCTAATACATTTCACAGTGTTCTCGCCAGGTTGCGCCCTTGCGTCATTTGCGCAATATTTAAAAATAAAAACGACAAACAGCTTTCCCATTTTGACCGCATGGTGACGCTATCAACATAGTAATTTTTTCCCTAGAGGGGTCCCACAATTGAGCAATGTCTTGCAATATACGCAACCCATTTCAAGCCTCATGGACTGGCGGCCATGAGCCAAGCCGAAACGCCAGAGAACTTTATTGAATTTTGGAATTTGTCGGAACCCTGATTCGGTACATGATGCTCAAAGTATCAGCGATAGAATCAGTACCTTTAGAAAATGCTAGTGTTCCAGCAGACACGCAAAATGCCGATGGTATTGAGTCTGGTAGCATAGCTGTGACTGCGGAGAGTGTCACTTTTATAATAAAGTCAAGGAACATCGACGATTTCAGCAAAAAAAAAATTCATCCATGGCTGAAATACAGGGATGATGAAAATTTTATGTACTGTAGTTGGTGTGTATTTTCAAAAAATAATAATGCTATGACACGGGGAAGTAATAATTTAAAAACTAATAGTAATGGAATAAACATATGTTAAACTAATGTGTGTGATGACTTTATGATTATTTATAAATTTCACCTTGACACAATTTTATTTACCCATTAATGGTTACACCATGGAAATTTTCATCCTTCGACAGGTAGGTGGACATTTCCCTAAACCAATTTACCCCGGAGTGATGTTGTTCACTTCTAACTTTGCTACTTTGAAAAACATAGTTGAACTCTGGTGACCTTGCCCTTTGTTATATAATACAATTCCCTTTATCGTAGTTTGTTTCAATATAAATATGCATTGTCATAATTAATTTTGAATACAAACATGTTTTGGGGTTGAACCAACAGTGGGGAATCAGTCTACCGAATGTCCTTAAAAGATGTAAATATCTTATAAAAACATGCCTTATTTGTTTAATTATTTTAAGGAACATAATTTCCAGCTTTATCAAAGTAA